AGTAGGGAGTCAAGTGGGAAACACTAAGGGAAACAAGTGGCAAACCCTGACCATAACACTAGGGGAAACAAGTGGGAAAACCTAAGAAAACATCACCAAACACAAGGGAAAACAAGTGGAAGTCACTTCCTTTGACTTCACAAAACAAAAAAAGTTAGCAAAAATGCTAATGCTGAGCTAGTCCAATGCTAAGCTAGCCCAATGCTAGCAATGAGAGAACAGCAAAGTATCATGGGAACCAGGAAGTAGGCTCCGTTCCATAATTTGCATATATCTCCCATCATGCCTCTCAAAAAACTACAACACACAAAGCCCTGATACTGAAGGGAATGTCGAATGGTGACCTCTGCTGGCAGCCAGCAGCGAGTCATACCCTGACTGGCCACCAGGGTACGCTTTACCCTTGGGATAGGAGCAATAAAAGGCAGCCCCCTGCACTCACTATCTTTCTAGTTCTGGTCCCAGCTACCATATCTGCCCTCAATCGTTGCTAGGACAGATACAGATCAGATAATTGGCATCCCAGTTTGATTCCGCATCTGTCGATAGGTCACATGATTCAGTTCGGTCACCTGACAAAAAATGTTCGGTCACATATGATGACTCCCAACCCTTCCGTGACGGGTATCTAACGACGCGGCAAGGCCTGCTGAGTACAGTGGTGGTGGAATCATCGCGATAGGAGACTCCTATCTCCAATTTTGAACTTTTTATTCGGTTAGATTTTGACCGATTTCGACCAAGTCCAGAACCGCTGGTGCTATCGACATGGGGTCTTCACCAGGGTGTCCGAAGCACCCCAAAATCCACTGTAGGCACCACTTTCATCCCTCTATGACCCTTAATTTTCGACTTATTACAATTTTATTCGGTCGACTACTAGCTATTACCCCCTAACCCTAACCCTCTAACCCCAACCCCCCAAACCCCAACCCCCCTAACCCTAAATCCTAACCCCCCCCTAAACCCTGACCCTTCATGAAGTGGTACAAAAAGGCTTTATTTCTCCAATACAGTGCGTTTCTGACTATTACATGCATTTGAATGGCGTTCTCGCCCGAAACAAAGTATGGGTTTTCATTTTGTGAATAACTTGGAGTTGGAGTGACTGAGACACTGAGACCTCTCCTGTCGTTATTACATACCTCCACATTGGTGACCCCTGTAGCGAACATGCTAAGGCTCGACGACAAAGCCTTGGTCATGCCTGGAGGCATCGGCTGCCGCCGGACTTTCACCTCCGCCAATGGCTGCGTTTGCTGTGGCGCTTAAATTGCCGGATTTTTGGCTTCACGATCCTCCTTCATGGTTCGTGCACGTAGAAGCTCAGTTTGCTCTTCGTGGAGTTTCAGCCGACGATACTAAATACCACCATGTGGTGGCC